GGGCCAAACTGACTGGATTTAAATCCTCACTCTAGTTATATGACATTAGACAAGTCACTTAATCTCTCTGTACCTCAGTTTCTGGATTTGTAAAATGGAGGTCACAGAAGATTAACATAAATATATGTTTGAAAAGCACTTATGACACAGCTAAGTAACACATGGCAAGTGGTAGATGTTATTTATGGGTATCATTGACCCACAGAAAGTTATTGAGGAAATCAGTGCAGGGTGGAACCCTGGATTCTGCCACCAAATGCTTGGTTTAGTGTCTTGACTCCACACTTTCTGGATGAGGAGATTTTTTGTTGTCTGTAAGACAGAGATGAAGATACCTGCTCTTGCTTTTCAAGAAATAACTTTAAGGATCAGATGGGATAAGTCATGAGAAAGGGCTTTGCCAAATGCAAACCTGGGCAGTGATAATGAAATTGTATGAAAAGAGGGATGGGATGGCTAGACCAGGAAGAGTTGGGGGGTCTCACCCACACAGCCTGGTCCTGACAACGGCAGAAGATGTGTGTGTATTGAGGAAAGTGGTTTCTGTTGGTTATAAACTTTGAATAGTTCACATCTATATGTCTTTCTGCTCAACCAAATAATGAGGGTATAAGAGACAAGGCTATCTGGGGGAAATAAACAACAACAACAATACATATCATACTACCTTATAACCTCACAGAAACATGTTCTAGGCATTTCTTCTGATAAGTCATAGGGAACAAGGATAAGAGGACAAGGTGAACTTGAGGACTTGGTGAGTTAACTGTCAATCTTAACTCATTTCCATGTTGGCAGTATTCGTTTCAATCATTAACATAAAGAACGTTCAGAAGAAGCTGTGCCTTGCTATGTCTTTAAGTGGTGTCTACCACCTTGAGCCTAGTGCTTTTGAGAATCTGCTGGCTGGCACAAAGGGCCTTCTGGAGGATGGAGGAGTGGAGTGTGGAGTATTCTGGGGCTGCTAAGGCCTGGCTTGCCATGGATTTTCTCCTTTGTTACCAAGCAACTGAGATTTCTCCAACTAAATAAAAAGACACACCACCTTCACTTCAAAGAGAAATGTGTTGAAAAGGAACAGAATGAGCACTTAACTTCACTTATCCCTTGTGAGCAAGAATGCCACACTGAGTCAGTTACGAATTCAGAATCTCAATGCAGAATGAGATCGCTGGAGATTTACTTTATTATTTTATTTTATTTTATTTATTTTATTTTAGAAAATGCTACATCTTCTAGCAATCTAGAATTGTAATTACATAATAAATATAAGGAGCTCTCAATAAACACAGCACTCTTGGAAAGAATGTAAATTGAGGGGCCAGTTTATATGAATTCATTGAGTACTTATTATATACTGGGTACAGTTCTAAGCATTTTACTGATAAGGTTAACCCTTTCATTCTATGAAGTAGAACTGATTTTTAAGGCCATTGAACAGATAAGAAAAATGAAGCATCTAGTAGAAAAGAAAATTATCCAAAATTGCACAGTTGGAAATTCAGAGTTAAGGCTTTTTCTATTCAGATAATAGCATTTTTAATAATTAAGATAATTTATAAAGAACTTTACAATGACAGTGCTATCTATCCCTACCCTAAATCAAATTGCTATGTGCAAAGCATCATGAACCCAGGGATTTGTGTTGAGAGTAGTCTTCAGTTTTTTAAAAAGTGTCATATCTTTCAATTAGTCAAATATTCAAGTGAAAGGGATTAAATGTAAAACTGAAGCTTAAAATACTCAAGGAAAGCAATAAGTTAGGGTTTTGTTACCTTGAAATAATTTCCACTACATAGGAGGAGGATTTATTGATGGATTAATTTATCAAATCTTGTGCAGAAAAAAAGAAGGAAAAAATGGATAAATTACAGACCAGGTTATGACCTAATTATGTATCTTGCACACATGAACAAGGGTGGGCTTGGTCATCCAGTTTTAATTACAGCCAGCCATGATCTGATCTGATCAAAGGATGGTGTGCTCTCAGAAATCTGATCTCTTGCGAGAAGAGATTTCCCCATGGATAATACTCAGGGATTCCATAATTTCAAAGAGTGAGAAAACAGTGAAATGCCCTCAGCTAGACAGAACAGAGTGTAATCGTTCTTGGTTATTCGGGAGGATTTTGCACTGCCTCAGGCCTGTCATTATGAACATCAGTGATCATTGTGGGAATTGGGGAAAGTGCTAGTGAATAGGAAGCTCCAATTACAGAACACTGGCTGGAACAGCCTTTGCTATAATTATACTGTGTTTAGATTGATGGACCTAATGAGCAGTGTTTCTTAATCCAAATGTTGATTTTGGAGAGAGTTAAAATTAGGGCTAAAACTGTGTTAGTAAATTTGTTTACTGGGTTGAATATGTGGCTCCAAGTAGAATTCAGATTTGTTCAACTAACATTTTTAAGCATCAAACTGATGCCAGGTCCTGGGCTAGTTCCTAGTGATACAAAACTAGATTAAGCCCCCAGGGTGTTACAGTGAAGCAGAGGGAATTTTAATGATGATAACCCGGCAATAATAAAAGCAGCTGATGTTAGTGGAACTCTTGTTAGGTGTCAGACACCATTCTAAACAGTCTGTCTGTATTAATTCACTTAACTACTATCACCATAATCCCAAGGGGGAGGACATTAGAGGTGAGAAAGAAGGTCATGCATAATTCAAGGTCATGCCGTGGTACATGACAGACCAGGGTTTACACTTAGGTAGTCTGAACTAAAACTTGGGCTATTAAGACCCATTTTAGTATTCAGAGAAGTCTTCACTGTAAAAAATTGTTAGTTTAAAGTGGAATATTCAGGGGTCAAGAAGACATATAATTTACCATTTTAGCCCATGTTGCTGGATGTTATGAGACCAGATCATAATATTATCCTAATTTCCATGTTCACTCTACTTTGATTTTACTGAGTTGTTTGCTATTCATCAAGCAGGTCAGTCTTGTTTGTTTCTACCTCAGGACCTTTATACTTGTCACATTGATCCAGACATCTATCTCAGATATTCTTCCATGACTCTTCACGCAATCCTCTCTTACTTCTGTCAAATGTGACCTCATTAGTGAGAAATTCCCTAACCCATACAGTTTTTGCAGCTCTTTTCCCCCATCCATCTGTCTTTACTCCCTTATTTCTCCATATATTTTAACATCATTTCACATATTATATGCTTACTTGGGTGTTTTGTTATCTGTCACCCTGGAATATATATTCCAAGAGGTCAGTGACTTTCTTTATGTTGTTTATCATTGAAATCCCAATGCCTGGAATAGTGACTGATATGTGGGGGTTCAATGTAGTTTTTTTTTTTGTTTGTTTGTTTGACCAATGAAAATAACAGAAAGAAAATATGCCAAAATGTCAAAAATAGTTATATTTTAATGTTGAATTTATGTTTTAAAAAAAACACATCAACCAAGTTTTCTATGATGATTTTGTACTACTTTATAATCAGAAAACAAAAAACAAAAAAATAGACTACAGTGAAATAATCATTGACTCATCTCAGAAACCTGTGTGTTTTATGTTATTGTTTTACATTGAAGTTTTACATATAGTTAGGTGGTATTATTGAGGGTCCCTTAGGAAAGCTTTGTCAGTAAAATGGTCCCTTCTTTCATGTTGACTCTAGATTTAGACTACCACCCTGACTGCTTGCCTGAGCAGGAGATTCACATACAGAACTGTCTGTATGATCAGCTTCTACTGGTACACCTACTAGCCAGCTCAAAAGCATTAGAACCAAAATATAACTCTCCATTCTCTGTTCTTTATATGATGATCCCAAACTCAATACATCACATATCTACTCACTCAATACATCCAATATCCATTTGGGGCTACACGCCCCCCAAATGGAGGATTCATACCTTCATTTCCTCATGTTCTTGTCTATTTGATGAGAAATTCTATTATATTGCCTCCAGAGTATATCCCAAATCAAACCACTTCTCATCGTTCCTTCCCATTTAGTAAAAGCTACCTGTAGCCACCTAGACCTTCTCTCACCCAAATCTCTGCAGACACTTTCTGACTGGTATTTTTGTTTCAACTCTTGGATGATACCACCACTTTCTGCCATTTTATCCTCCTCAAGGCAGCAAATGTGATTTATTTAAAAAAAAATATATAATCAGCCTATGTTTCCTCTCTGATTGAAATCCTCATGTGGATTTGTTCTGTACTACCAATAAAAGTATTTCCATGTCCTTGAAGACCCTGCAGGATATGATACCTAGTTTTCATCAGCTGCTACTCTCCTCTGCAGCCACAATATTCCAAACTCTTATTCAAGCATGCCTGACATATTCCAGCTTTGGGGCGTCCTCTTGCCTGAGTCTTCTCCCTTCAGTACCATGGTCAGCTCTTTGTCATCATTTAGCTCTCAGGTGGGGGATCACCTCCTCAAACTAACCTTTTTGATCATCCTAACTTAGAAAGCTCCCTTCTCTCTCCCCACCAATTACTGTATCCCATGACTCTTTATTATTTCCAATTATAGTCTATAATTACCTAGCTCACATGTTTAATATCTGCCTTGCCCTGGAATGCAGTCACCCTGAGGAAAGGGAATGTAGCTGACTAAATCACTGCTCTAATCTCAGCACTCAGAAGAGTGCATGGATCATAGTAGAAGCTTAATAAATCATCACTGAATGAAGGAAGAAGGAGTTAAAATTTTTTGTGACATGTACATAGAGATCAAAGATGATGACCACTGAGATTTTATCTCTTATTATATCAGTTTCCCTAATGTAAAACATGAATGCCAAAAGAAAGCTTTGCTCTTAATAACAAGGTAATGCCACTGATTTATTCATTATTAATTTATTAATTCATTCATAATTTTCTTCTCACCAGGGATTTAATGAGGACTTTCTTTACAGGACTCCTGTGTTTGGTGTTCTGGTAGTGTCTCTGTGTGCATGTATTAGAGGATGAATAAGGCAAATAAATAACTAATACAATGTAAAGTGTATTTTATTAGGCACAGTTACGTGTCTAAATTTTTTCTGTACATTATTTTGAGAATTCAAAGATGTTCCTGTTTGTTCTTACTGGTAAGTTAGTTTATAAGCTTTTATCTTCAAGTTATCAGAGGTGGATTTCTTTAATGGTCCGTTTTCTTAAACCCGAGTTTTAATACATATTAGACCTGGAGAAAAAGGAGAAAAAAACACAGGAATCAATACAAAGACTAATGATCATTCATCCAAATGAAACAGATATCATTTGAAACTGGACACGGGTCTGTTGTAATCTGGTCTTCTCCTTCATCTTGAGTGAGGGATGCTGAAACAGACCGGGCTAGCTACAGTTTAATGGGGGTGTGATTAATGTTTTTCACTAGCCCAAGGGATTAAGAGCAAAATTAGTTTCCATTCCAAAAAAAAAAAAAATGTTTTTTAAAGGCCAGTTAAAATCATTGACTTCATGCATCACTCGGCAATTATGGGAAGCATTATTGCACCCTCTCTGTAGATGATTAGGATAATTGCTGTCCTTTCATCTTTCTCATCTAGCGACAGTCTCCCAGTGCCTCCCACTCCCCTTGGTGTTTTAGCATCCTGCCTGCATTTGCTTTGCTAAGAGAACATCAAGGCTCAACATAATTGGGCCATTTCCTTGTCATACTGGTTTGCTTCTAAATCTTCCTCCTCTGTAGGTTGCAGTAAGGTCAATCATATGCAGTCAAATAGCAGAGAAGATATTAAAAATACATGTTTCTTAAGACTAAATGTGTACTACATATGAGTTTCAGTGACAAAGGGAACTTCTCTTAATATACTTAGACAAAGCCATTGGCAATTTTCCTGTACCTGTTGGCAATCAGTAAAGCTTTGATTAGCAGCATGATTGACACATGATTTATATTGTCTTTTTTCATAAGTAGTAAAACATAGAGAGAGTTGCCATGAACACTGTGTTTCCCATATTTGCGTGATTACCACAATCAACTGTGACACTAGATCAAAATAGGCCACAGATTCACGGAATCAGAGGTGTCAACAGGGCTAGGGAATTGTAGGTTTAACAAGCATTCTAGGTGACCTGATTATTAGGCAAAAATTCCAACAAATCTGGTATTAATAGTATTCAATGAGTTGTTTATGTGTCCCTCTGGTGCTTACTGTATTGGGAGTAATATCCAGGTTTCTTTATTTGATTAAACATAGATTCAAATTCTCACAATAACTCCTAATACCCACTGCTTATACTATTAGAGAGAATATTCACGTAGGGTATTCTGTAATGGAAATCATATTCTGTTTCTATTATTAAGCTGAATGAATGAGAGCACCAGTACCTCCCCTACTTTGTCAATATTATGACAACATATTTTTACCTCATGACATTTGTCAACGAGCTGCCTTATCAACTAAGCTCAGCCAATATTCCATCCAAAGCATCTGCATGTCTCATGTTGTAAAGTTCACTTTGATAAATGCTGAGGGTTAGAAAAAGTAACAGACTTCTAAAGTATTACAACTGCAAAGGTCATTGGAGGTCATCACTGCAAACTGATAACTATAAAAATACAAGAACAGAGGGCAATGGAGGATTTGTCAAAATTAAGCAGTTAATTATATGAAGATTTGGACTAACTCTCCTGATTTCTCTCCCAATATTGTCTCTATGACTCTACTTCCTGATTTCTACAAGCTTCCTGTGTGAACATAGTTTCCTCTTTAGAAAAAAGCATTTACTTAATAACTGTCTTTAAAATTTGTGTTGTCTGAGACTCAGGCTCCAGTGGAAGTGCCTGGTAGGACCTTGATGATAATAGAGGTGGAGATGGAAGAGGCAGGACAGACCAGGAAGATGGGATGCGAGCAGAGTTCCCCCATTCTTTTATCTGGCTGGTATATGGAAATTGCATTCAGAATGTGTTTAGTCAAACTATTGTGATACTTGGAAAGAAGTTGTAAAAGTAAAAAACACTAGATAGTAAAAAAAAACACTAGATCTTCAAATACAAATCTGATTCTAGTATTTGGGGCTTCTACGAGAAAAAGAGAGCTCCAAAGCCAAATGCTTCTGTCCTTTTTCATTCACTATAGGGCAGGGTTCTTGAATATTCAATGAATGGTACCCATTGACTAACTCCAAGTGGGCTTGGTCAACCCAAGTAATTTATACTTTAGAAGTAAGAAAAGAACCATAGAAAATAAGCTATTTGGAGTTAGCCTATCTTTTTAAACCCTTTTTAAAAAACTAAGCTGAAATGGCCAATATTTTCTTCCTATGACTGAAAGGAAACATCACTGCTTAAGCGATGATATCATGCATGCTGACCTCTGCTTTCTAATAGGGGGAAGACACTCAGAGTGTCAAGCTTATTCATCTTTTTTGAGCCTATTCTGATTTTAAGAAGACATTGATACTCTGATATAGAGTTCTCAGAATCTGTAATAGTTCTAAGGTATCTACCCAAGTAGTGTAAACCACTAATTTGAAGGGATTATTCATGGCTGTGTTCATTGCAGCACTATTAAAAATAGTCCAGTTATGGAAGCGATTAAGTACTTACAACAGATACGTGGATTAAGAAGATGTGGTATGTGTACATCATAGAATACTATTCAATTGTCAAAAATATAAAAATTTTGCTATTTGCAGCAACATAGATGAAATTGGAGGGGGTTATGCTAGGTAAAATGAATCAGAAGAAGGATGAAAAATATCAGATTATTTCACTCATAAGTGAAACAAAAAAACAACAACAACAACAACAGACAAAAACCAATCCAAAAACAAACTGGAGCAATCTGTCTATTGATATGAGATTACAATAGGGGGAAGGTACAGGCAGGCATCAAAGGAGGGAGAAGACCCAGTGGACTATGGTGGAAGATTATTGATGCTTTGGTATGGACCTGTTATGATAACATACATCTAAAGGTATGCACTGTGCTCCTAATTCATGTACAATGTATTAAGATATATTGCCGCAATGAGAATAATTGCAAAATAAATAAAAGAATGATAATTAAGATAGATAATTTTTATTCTCATAAGCACTATATATCAGATCTCATGTTCCCCTTTGAACAAAATTGATACTGTCATATTTTCCCAATTAAAAAAAAAAAGCTTGCCTATCCAAGTGACATGACATTGGGGGATATTGGTTGCTGTACCATTTGTTTAAGTTTTCTTATTTGTAACTATATCTATTCAGAATTTGAGTGAGTTAACTTGATAATGCATAAATACATTTTGTAATATTTTATGATTGCTTATAACCACCTTTATGATTTTTTCTGTGTATTTTTAAATGCAGTTCAATTTTTCTACTTAGTTGTATCTGTTTTCGAATGTAAATGACAGGGATATACGTTTCCAATGGCAATAGATCCTAGTTTTCATGTAATTAACACCATTTGGAAACAATCCTGAAATCTCAACATGCAACAAATTTTTCTAGATTCAAATTCAACCCTTTGGACTTCTTTCTCTCCATTCTCCCTTCCCCATTCTAACCTCTACACACAAGTAAAATTGTTATCAGGAGAGTCAACTAAGCTCTTTCATATCTCTCTACCTCTGCACATGCTGTCCCTTGACCAGGAATGCTCTTCTCTTTATCCTTTTTCTGTAAAATTCAAACTATCTCTTTACATCCTAATAGAAATGTCATCTGCTTCGATATGTCTTCCAAGATGCCCATGAGCAAAGTCAGATGTCTGCCTTCTGTTCTCTCCGGTGCATTGCTGATATCCTGTGACAGCTTCCTGTCACTCTAACTTGCTCAACTGGGAGAGCTTCAAGGGGTAAACAAAGTTTTATTCCTTTCTGAATCCCCATTGCCTCACAGATTGCCTGAAACTTAGGACACACTCATCAGCATGGCTTAAGAGTGATAAATCAATTAATCCACCTACTCCTCAGCATTTGAATCTTCTCAAAGTGACTGTGTTCTGTTTTGCTCCCCTTTCCCGTTTTTAAATTCATTTAAAAACGAATATTTTTTTCTCTAGTACAATGCTCTCTTCTAGTATGTATTTTCTCTAATTCCATTCCTTTTCATATCTACCATTCTAATTTGCTGTCTTTTCATCTCAGTTTTGGAATTCTGTGATAGCTTCCTGGAATATGTGTCTTCTCTACATTCCTAGTATAATGCACTCCATGGCCAGGTAACAAATCGATTGTTTCATGCCACATTTACTGTATTACCACTTTGGAGAGATTCTGAATTGACTTCATTATTAAATGAAGACATAAAGCTCTACTATAAGCACTTAAGGAAAGCTGTCACTTTCATTTCTACAATCCTTATTCCTCAAGTGATCCATTGCATCCAGCTAAGCCAGACAGTTCGTTATTCTCTGAATGACCTGGGTTCATTCATTCACAATCCAAAGAGAATCCTTGGTTGACTTATACTGATCATATATTTTTCTTTGCTACAAACCAGGTTATGAATTTATCTCTTTCAAAAAAGGCTACCAGGATTATTCCAATGCCTGAATCATCACATCTTCACTTCATATAAATCTAGGTAGGGTTTTAGACACTGGAATTTTTCATCCGTGACATTGTGCATTTTCCTTAGTGCCCACAGATCACTGAACCTCCTTGATCTATAAAATGGAGTTAAAAAAAAAACTGTTATGCATTTAGGGTGTTTCATGCCAAAATAGAGAGAATTTCAAATCAAAAATGATGGTTTATTCTGTTTACAAGTCAGGAATTCTCAAAGGCATAACCCAATTTCCTTCCCTCTTCCCTATATCTGTATCTTGGCATTTGAAAAATGTGAAGTCAAATTATCACCACTTTCATTCCTTTGCATTCATTATATTTAATTCACTTTGAAATATCAGATCACATTAAAAGGAAGTAGTAGAACACTACTTATGCTGTAACAAATAGGCCCCCCAAATGTTAATTGCTCCCACATAAATTAAATACACACATATGTGTGTAATATATATATATTATATATATATATATATATATATATATATATAGCTGGTAGTTCCCTCCCTCTTCCCAGCATTCCCCCATCCAGAAGTCAGGTTCCAGGCATGCTGGGAGTTGTGATAAAAGTGTTGTGGAGGTGGGGGTGGAGTCCAGAGCATCCTACCAGGCTGCATCCTCTAGCAGTCTGAAGGAATGAAACTTCAGTCAACATGATTAATTTGCTATGGCGGATCATCAATCACTTTTCCATTTCCAAACTTCTAACAACAATATCTCTTGACCGGAGAAAGCCTGAGCAACTCTGGGCTGCTTACTTATACATCAACTGTAGAAAAAGTCTCTTTTCTCACTAGTCCTTCCTATTTTTTGAAACTCCAATAGGGACTTTATATGGTTAATTCTTCCAGGTGTCCATGATAAAGTTCACAGATGTGAAGTTTCAGGGCATCAAACTGAGAGATATAAAGGTTCTAATAGAGTGCATTTCTAAAAAGGAAAACAAATTCTGAAGATATTTTCTGGTTCTGTGAACAGCTAAAAATAAAAGGATAATCATCCTTATACTCCTGGACTTTTAATACCAAAGATAACCTGGGGTTGGCGGGGGGAGATGACACTGAGCTTCAGGGAGGGAATAGAGCAGACTTCCATGGAACCAGTGGCTTTTATCAAGCATTTGTCCCTGGATCAGCTCATCTCTCTTTAAGTTTCAGATGATTTATTTCTCTTTGTACAGTAAAAGACACACAGAACTACTATTTAGCAACATCTGTGCCTCTAAAATTAATTCCAAAAAAAAGGTCAAACAGATAAACAAGCAATTGTTTTTTAGGAATGAATGAATTTTTCAATCCCTTTGGAGCAGCAGAATGACAATCAACTTAATAAATTGGGAAGTAGATCCCCCTGTAAAAGTCTTGCAAATGGAGACAAACTGTTTTGCTGACTGACAAATACATGTTCTGTGATAAATAATAAAATAACCAGGAAGAGGAAGAGAAGGAGCTGGAGAAGGAGGGTAAAATAGAAAGATTGAGATTCTGAACTATTCAGACCACTTGGTATCTAGCTCTTCAGTGCCTGCCACTTCAGTTATCTTAACTGACTCCTTTCACCTAAGTCCACATGTGCCTCAGGGGTGCTTTGCATCACAGGATTTGTAAACAGGCTTTGTTTGAGGGTTAAGAGCTGCTACTCCCAATGCGGCTATTACATCCTGGTCTCCATTCCCTAAACAAGGCAAGCAAATAGAACTATATAGAGTAGAAATTAACCACAGCTCTCTTTTCAAGATGTGTGATGCTGATATTCTGCTGAAATCTCAAAGCCCATGTACATTCACCTTGATTCCTATTCAGAAACTTCTTTATACTGTATTCTTTATCATCGATTGGAGTGAGCAATACTTTGTCATCAGCTAATCTTAGGGAGTAGTTAAGAGCCCTGGCTCAAATTGAAATGGACTTGGGCTCTATTTTGTGCTCTGCACTGAAAAGCTTCATGAACAAACCACTAGAGTTCTCTACAGTCCAGTTTCTTCATCTATTAACTGAGACTTAATAAGACCTAATTCAGCATCTCGTAAAAATAATGTCTAAGAAATATCTAGCACTAGTCTTCACACCTGATGTGCCTCCAAGAAATTATGGATATTGTTTTATCATTGTTGTGTTTCTATTTTTCAGCATTTTATGATTTCCAGAGACTATGGTTCTCTGGTTATTTTCTTAGAGCTGAAGTCTACACTTCCTTTATAAAATATAACCCATTTTCATAAAACACATGATTTGTCATTTTGCCCAAAAGAGATTCAAAGAGAAGAGTGCAGATTTATTCCCAACTCAGTTTTCTGACCATTAGAGTCATTATTTGCTTGATTAAATTTTCACAGAATGGAATTCCTTCTCTGAAGGGATGGTCCAAAATCAAACTTAGAACGAAGATTGAGTCTCTCTCCTACTCAATCAATGAACTGAAGGCTTTGGAAAACAAAATAGAAAAACAATACCTTCCATAAAGAAAAGAAAAATAAATCCTTCCTATACCATTAGCTTAGGATTCTGGGTAGGTCTGAAATAGTCTATGCTTGCTCTTGAGTAGGTGGTACTCAGAGATATGGGGGTGATTATGCACAGCACAGCCACAGGGGACTCTACTACACAGACAAGAGCAAAACATGTGCCAACAGGGAACATGTGAGGTTAAATCAAGGCCTTTCCATTTGCTAAAGATGATCCCAGTCTATGGGAATCAGAGTTAAACATATTACCTCTGTCAGAATGGTCTCTTGAGGAAGGAGGTCCACTTAGGGATAGTTGAGATTAGTAGAATTTGAGGCAATACTGGAAAATCATGTGGTGCCACACTATAGGATTTGGAAATGGGCAGTTATGGGAGATATTAGGAAGGCATGCATACATTTTGGAGTAGCTGCACTCAGGGAGTGGACAGGCTCATGAAAAGCATCTGTGAAAAGGACATCATAAGGACTCAAACTCATCATGAAGATTTACCAGCAAAGGTTACAGGAAGGCAATAACTTGTCCATTCCTAGAACATTGCAGGACTCCTGCAGTGGTGAAGAAAAGTGGCCCTTTCAAACAGTACAAGAAACTAAAAGTCAGAGAAGACAACAGACCTGACCAGAAGCCAGTCACTGGACTGAAAACAAACAAGATGACTTTTTTGACCTATTAAAACTACCTAAATGGAGGATGACTTTGAGAGACACTTCCATATTTGGAATACTCTGAGTCTGTTGCTTAGATGTGTGGATGGCTGAAAGCATCCTGCCATTACTCTATGGGGATACTGCTGAACAATTTCCTGCCAATATATCCCTGAGCCTTTTGGGAAATAAGAGCTGTTGCAGCTTTGTTGTATCTCAAGGCTGCCTGGTATGGGAGGAGGCTGAGAGTAATTAAAATAACTTTCAATCAAGCAGGGAGAACACTGCATTTCTGTCACATGATCCACTCCTGGTGAGACCCCAGCTGTTGAGCAAGAAACCCACTCTAATATCTAATATCTGATTTGCTCAATCTTGAGTTGGTCACTAAACAATGTTAACAACTTAAGGGTTTTTGAATCTAAGTCCTGGAAAGATGTGTGTGTGTGTGTGTGTGTGTGTGTGTGTGTGTTGTGTGTGTGTAGAAGGACTGGGGTGTATGCCAGAGGTGCATAGGGTAAGAGCATTCACCAGAGACAGAGTGGGGAGCAGACAGGTGTATTACTGAAATGCACTGCTAAGGCGAGCAGCGGGCGAGACAGGAGAGATCTGCTGTGCCGCATGTGGGTTAGCACCCTGGCCAGGGATCAAACTCAGGTTATAGCAGTGAAAGTGCTGAGACTTAACCTATAGGCCACCAAGGAGGTCCCCTGGAAAGATTCTTAATCACCCTGTTAAAAAGAAAGAGCAGAAAAGGAATAGAAAGACAGAGAAGCAAACAAAATGCAAAGCCAGTTCAACTCCAGAGAGGGTCCTCTGATTGCTTTACCTTCTTTGGCAGATTGGTCAGTCCCACTTGAAACACAGCAAGTGAATAAACTCTGCAGATGAGTGATGTGAGATCTGAATTGAAGCTGGAGCTCACCAGCATGTCTCCAGGGAAATAGTGCTGGAACAGCTGCCAGAAGCGGAAACAGCAGCCCAGAAAGTTTCCTCCCACACAGAGGGATCGACACTAGCTCTGTGCACACAGGAGGGCCAAGGAAAGGACACAGAGTGAGATTAACTCCTTTGCCCACTTGAATCTCTGGGTTGTTTTCCCCTTGTGTTCTACATGCTTTAAATCATTGCACTTCCAGACTTCACACCTTACCACCAGGCTTGTTGGGTTTCCAGAAGAGAACTTAACATGTAGATCTGGTTAGGCTAGGTTTTCTTCCTATTAGGTATTTATCTACTAGTTGGTACCCACCTCTCTCACTCTGAGCATTGGGTTCCCTTAATCTTTTATTGGGGCAGATCTTTGTATTGAGTTCTTCTAGACCGGTAATTCTTCAGTGCTTCCCAACCCCCTACACCTCCATGTGTTTCACCTCCTTGTTCTTCAGGATGGGAGCTCCCACAGATCAGAAATTATATCTGTCTCTTCTGTTCTGTATGGCACGACATCTCTCTATTTCCTGAAAGTGATGGGAGAAATTAACATATAAGTCTATTATTATCTAATGAAACATAACAGAACACTAAAAGTCCTAGCAAAGAGGAGGAGAAATCTGACACATAAGAATTTTCAGGTGAATTACTAGGATAAGATGAGGTCAAAATATTACAGAAAAAAAAAAGTTTACCAGGCCTGAACTCTCTTGTTAACCTGAGGTATAACCACCTAAGAATGGTGTATGCAGATGGAAAGTCAGGGAATCATCTGTGATTCATCTACTACATTTTTCCTTAGATGTTAAAAAAAAAATAGCAAAGTTCTCTTTTGCAATTTTCCCTGTATTCTGATGTGTTTCTTGATTCTTGCAGTGATGGGAATAGAATGGTGCTTCAGCTATTTTTTGTTTTATGTATCAAGGTATGAGAAGTTCTCCTGTATTATCAAAAGAATTGGTGCTTTCAGGACAATAGAGCAGATTTTCTGACTCCAAGGACATTTCACCACCACTGAACCACCCTTTCCCACAAGCTCCAAGGGAGAGTGATTGTTCACTCGGGTTCACTTAGAGAATAATCTGTCCTTAGCACTGGAAGCTGATCACAGCAATGAATAAAAGACAAAACCAATTCTGCAATATAAATGACACATTCCATTAATACAAGTGGATCCAAATGAACTAATTTCATTCAATAGTACTTTTTTACATTCTGTAGCTATATGGGCTTAGATACAAATTGTAATGTCAGTCTGTCAGAGAGTGGACTGCAGTGCATAATTACAAGTTCTTGTTCAGCACTTCAGGAGCTAATCAGAGCAAGGATGTGAATCTGTAATTTGCAAATGTGCAAAGACAGAGGCTACTGTGGCACTAATGGCTCTGCTGATCACATTTTTGCAACCAAATCATGGACTGTGGGTGCAAACTCCACAAATGTGACCTTTCAGTCACTCATTTGCTTATGAGAAAAATGTCCGGTTTGTGGCACCTAGGAACTTTCTTAATTTAATGCTGTCTGGCAATATAAACATCATTGGTATGCCAATAAATTAATATTTACATTCCAAGGGACTTTATACACATGCATAAAGTGACAGAGCAAAATAATGTATGAAAATACAACACAAATGTGGAATATGTCACATCAGGAAACTGTTTCTAAACAATGCATTTCATAGGACTGAATCAGCAATGATTAAATGAAGGGGGAACAGAGAGAGCAAAGGAAAGATGTGAGGGAGAGAGGGAAAGAAGGGAAGATGGGAAGAATATATGTGTATATAGGATATGTAATTATATTATTATTGTTATTATTATCATTGTCATCATAATTTATTCTCCCCCCCAACATTCCTCATTCAAATGTTTAAATACTTGTCCTCTTTCACCAACAATTTAATTTAATCCCATTTTTGGGGGAAGTGGAGAAACAAAACAGCACTTTAAAGTAGATAGTAGCCTAAAATTTAAGCCCCTTTCTAAAATATTCTAAAATTTCACTGTCCTAGCAACTCATGGATAAAAGTAGAATGGTTTCTGCTTATCCTTTGCTCAATATAGGGCTACAAAGGTATTATTTTTCTCTGCTTTCCTTCTCCCATTATCATCTGATGGTGAACTATAGTCCATCAGAAAGTCCATCAGAAAATGAATATTTAGAATATCTCTACCAGTTTCTTTGCAATAGTAACCCTTCAAGCCTAAATGAATTCTTATATGCAGACAGTTGCGCAATGTTGGAAGCTGCTGGTCATTTCTGATTTTAAAAGAATTGGAGCTTGATACTTGTATCAAAATTTTCAAGTTGAACAGTTGGGTTTTGTTTCAGCTTGGGTGCTGAAACTAGAGCCATGGCTTACCTGGTAAGGTAATTGTAGGAGACCTAGTGTAATAGAAACTTTATGTAATGAGGGTTCTTCTTAATGAAGAACAGAAGAGAGGTTATGCCTTGTAGGCAAAAGTCAAGTGACTGTCTTTGGCAAGTACTTTTGCTCATGGATTCTGTGTGGGAGCAATGTGTGGTAGTGCAAAAAGTAGGTTCTATTCAGTCACTTCTTCACAGATTTAATTCTTAGTTCTACAGCTGAACCATTGTTGATGCTAGGATATTTAACTCCTTGGTCTTTGTTTCCTTATTTACAAAGAGAGAGTAAGGATAACGTGTAAGGCAGAGTACGCTGAAAGTTGAGATATATTACACGTAAAACCCTGGGCATCTATTTTTCCATATATTACAGGTTGGACTCTCAGGCTTTGTGTCTGACACTCTCAGGATGTGTCTGAGCAGGATCCTTGTGCTCAACACTCAACAACTGTGGAAGAGAGGAAGGAAGTGGATAGGACAGAGGAAGGTGAACTGCCTAAGGTATAACAGCAGCCCCAGCTGACCTCACAAGAAACTGTAGAGCTGGTGGCGCAAGGGATTAATTCTCAGCACTATGAAGCAATCTGCAACCACTGCAGCATGAGTTCAATCACTGGCCAGGAAGCTGTGACCCACATGGTGCAGCAGACCTCTCCTGCTTCGCCCACTGCTCCCCTCAGCAGTGTATTTCAGTAGATCCGCCCATTCTGTTCCCCACTCTGTCTCTGGTGAATCCTCTCACCTCCTGTACCTCTGACCTGTACCCCAGTTCTTGTATGCATAAATAAATAAATATTTTTTAAAAAAGAAACTGTAAAGCTAGAATAACCCTTTGAACCTGTCCCAAATTGGGCTCAGAAGACCATACTTCTTGTTCCTACATGGTTGACCTTGGGCAGGAAGGGTTACTGCAACTGAGACTAATGCTCAAAGACTGACAGCTCCAGACCATCTGCTGATATCATTCCCAGGAGCTGGAGCAACGGCAGTTTCATTCAAGGAAGATGGTACATCAGGGTGCCTGCACAGACCCGATAAAACATGCGGGTTTTCTGTGTGCATACTACTGAGTCAATCCATCCTGTTTCTCTTCCACTTCCCCCTTCCCTGCTCCTCCTAAACCTCCTCCCTTCCATCTCTTCCTCCTCTTCTTCTCATTCCCCTTCCTCTTTTGGGATTTCTTTGTTCTACTTTACAGAATTAAACCTCTATATAATAAGAATCTAATTTTTTTTTTCTCTTACTGAGTACCTGCAGGTATTCCTGGTATAGAAAATTAAGGGTTCTTTTTCTATTATGGGAACTGACACTTTGACAGATAAGTGAGCACTACTGCATTGAATCACTGGGAAAATGATGTCAGGATGTGGGTGGCATTGTTTAACCTGGCATAGAATACATATGCTCTCTGAAGAGGCTGCTTTCCCTTCTTTAGGATTTGTGTGTTTAAATCAAGGGGACAAACTCAAAACACACATTTGGGCAAAGGAAAACTTGGCTAAGAGTAAAAGAGAACCTACAGGGAAAGTGCTTTGTAGACTGTGACCTTTCAAGCTAAACTGCCCCTAGAGGAAGAGACACTTATTTGAATTTACAGACATCTCAGAACTCCAATGAGCCAGGCTTCTGGTTCCTTTCCTCTAGGGCGCTACAAAGCTTAGGTCTTTGCAGATCAATTAAGTCATTAGTGCTCAATCTAATGAAGGTTGATTTCCATGTGGAGGCTGAGCCAGCTGGTCTGCCCCAAATGGCGCAGAGGCAACCAGAGTACTAGAGTTAGAGCACATGGCAATAAGCCACTGGGGTCAGAGGGCCTCCAGCTAGCAGCCAAGTGAATGGTGCCTGTTTTCCAGGCAACCTCAATCACTGCCCTGGGCAGATTGAAAGCAGTTACTGGACTGAGGTGCTCTCCACTCACAAGAGTTTGTAAATACGATTTAAAAATCCAATTGCTACTGCCTGCTTGACTAAGAGGTGTGTTTAGAGAACTGTAAGGTGTGAGAAACTCTTTGAACAGATGTGATTGCATCTTGGGAGATGTTGCATTTTTATATTAATTCTCAGGTATTTTGATGAGAGATTTTTAGATTTTAGCTCAATTTGCTCATTAAATTTTTGAATAGAGAACAGCAAGGAGGTGATAACAAGAAAGAAAATACAAATATGTATTCTCATTGTGTCTCATTGACAATACATCCTCCATACTGCCTGTATTTTTTCCTCATTAATATCTATCAGCTACCTTTCCATATCAATGCATTGTGAGCATCTTCATTCTTGTATATAGTTACATATTTCATTGTGTGAACCTACCATATTTATTTAATCATTCCTCTGCTATTTGTTATTACAAATATGTTGCAAATAACCATATAATTACTTCTTCATTTAAGCATGTTTGAGTGTATCTGTAGGATGCATTCTCAACAGTAGAAGTGTTAGGTTGGGGGAATATATGTGTTTGTAACTTCACTAGATATTGCCAAATCACCCTTGATAAGCAATACTCAATATGTGTGTGTGTGTGCGCGCTGTCTAAGGGAGTGTTTATTTTTATAACTGTCGCATTATATAATATTTCAGTGTTCCACATTTTTTTAATCAGAGCTTCTCATCTGGTGTGCCACAACTCTTTGGTCAGTTAGATAAGCCTTTGGGCACGAATAGTCTTACTGCTTATCTCATTCCTTGCAAATATATAATTTCCTTTTAGAATCAACATTTGAAAAATATTAGGAAACATCGCTTTCATGAATATGCATCAGGTCCCTACTATGAGAAATGAATCATCATCTTAGTGTTAATATAGAGAAAAAAGTGCATACATTTCCATTAATTAAATTGATGTCTTTATATGTTATTCTTTGACTCCTGGTAATCATAGAATTTGCTCTACTTCCCACCTGATTCCCTTTCCCAACTATTTTTAGTTGTAGCATTTCTGTATTATCAGAGCATATTTCATTTTCATTCTGACCTCTATGTGTTCTCCATTGCATTAGCTCTAGTGCTGCTTCTTCAGGGACTGTAGTCTCTGGCACCTCCAGCTGCTTTGTCATTGTTTTAGTAGTCATGTCATGATTGACTAAAGTAGTTACCTAGCAATTTCTTCAATACCCTCAGTGCTCTTACATGTTAAATATTCTTTGTCTATACA